AAAAAAAAAAAAAAAAATAATGTTCAAGCTCAATCTTAGATAAAATGTTTGAAAGTAAGTTAAGTTAAGGTATATAGATAAATATGGTTTATTGTGAAATTGATTTTTTTTTTTCGCAACGATAGAAGATATTATATCAACAATGTACAAGGAATACAAATCGGGGGTCAACTGACTCAAATAACAGAGAGCTACTCACACCCGAGTGCTCTAATACAAACAGAACACAAATAACCACACTAAAGCACATGCTAAAGCCAGCTTTAACCTTGACATCTTTAGCATTGCAACCAACCGCAAAACAACACAAAACAACAAAAAAAAGGGGCAAAACCAAACAAACAAGCACCCCAAAAAGCAGAAACCAAACTAACAAACTAACAAAAGAAGAGGAAGGAAACAGCAAGATATGAGGAGAGAAGTGAAGAGACCACTGAACCTGACTGGACCTAGACACCTTCACTGCCCTACCCATTTAGTGCTATAGTTCCTCTTGGAAAATTCAAGCCAGTCCCTTTGAGCCATATGGATGATTACAGGAACTGGCATCCATGCTTTTTTGAACACCCACAAATTCCGAGCTTTCCATAACCACCACAAAAGGTAGGTGGTCAGCTCTATTCTTGCTTCAGAAACTTCAAGCTTGTTCACAGAGCAAACATCAATCCACCATTGCTTGAAGCTTGTGTTGGGAACTTGGGTTAGTTCCCAGTTCACAGGTGCAGCTTTCCACATTTCCCTAGCCTTCTTGCACTTAAAGAAGATGTGCTCAATTGTTTCAAGGTCCTCACCACATGTTTGGCAAATGCAGTCTACCAGCAATCCTTTCTTTCTCAATTTGGTCTTAGTAGGAAGGACATCAGAATAACACTTCCATAGAAAGTGTTTGAGCTTGCCTTTAATGTTTAACTTCCAGCTTCTAGTTCTGATCTTCCTGAGAGTGCCAGCTCCTTTACTTCCTTCAGCTATATCCAGGTTATTGAACTTGTCATTCACCATTTTTGAGTAGGCTTTGGCCACTGTAAATTCCTGGTTATCTCCTTTGATCCATACCCATCTGTCTTTTTTCCCTGGTTCAAGAGTATTTATCTTCAGAATGCAAGCACAGTCATTCTCATTGAAGAGGGTTTTCAGCAGTTGAGTGTTCCATTTCCTCCCTCCATCTTCCAGCAATTCCCAAACCCATTGTAAGTTGGATTCCCTACCATCAGGTAAAAGAGGAACTCCAGTGTGACTAGTTATAATCCAAGGGTCCTGCCAGATTCTGGTAGAAAGGCCATCTCTGATTTGCACTCCGAAACAATGCTTGTGTTTGTTCTTGATTGAAACCCAGGTGGACCACAGCCATGAAGAGCTACTGTGCTTTTTGGCCTGAAAGATGTTTCCCTGGGGGAAATATTTGCTCTTCAAAAGTTTACTGACAAGTAGGTTGGGATTGGTGGCAATTCTCCACACTTGCTTCAAAATGAGAGCCTCATTGAACAGATTGAGATCATGGAATCCCAACCCCCCTGCCTTTTTAGGGAGATTAACAGCCTGCCAGCTTTTCCAATGTATACCAGAGGATTGATCATTCCCATTAGACCATCAGAAATTAGCACAAATACTAGCAAGCCTCTGACAGAGAGATTTAGGCATAGCAAAGCAAGACATAGTGAAGACAGGCAGTGCATTTAAAACAGAGTTAATGAGTACTTCTTTCCCTGCTTGTGAGAGGTAAATGTTCTTCCAATTTGCCATTCTCTTTCTAACAGCCTCCACCACATATTCGAAAGTCTGATTTTTCGATTCCCCAATACCCAATGGCATCCCTAAATATTTGGAAAATTTTTGCACTTGAATTCCATGAAGGAGATTGCAAATGTCAGACTGCACACCACCAGGGACATTCTTGCTAAAGAAAATTGAAGATTTCAAGAGATTTACCTTCTGCCCAGTATGCTTGTGATAGGAATCCAGAATTCTCAAAATAGCACAAATAGAAGCATTATCAGCACCACAGAAGATTAAAGAATCATCTGCAAACAGGAGGTGAGAGATCCGGGTTCCTCCTCTAGCAATTTTGACACTTTTCAGACATCCATTAGTAATCTCTCTTTTAATAAGCAGGGAGAATAACTCTGAAGCAAGAATAAATAAGTATGGTGAGATAGGGTCTCCTTGCCTGAGACCCCTAGATGCACCAAAGTAACCACAGATTTCACCATTTATATTCACAGAGTAAGTGGAAGAAGTTACACATCTCATTATCCACTTCACAAAGGTTGAATGGAAACCAAATTTGATTAAAACCGTGTATAAAGAGCTCCATTCCAGCCTGTCATAGGCTTTCATCATATCTAGTTTCAGAGCAAGATAACCTTGATTGCCTGTTCTATGTCTGTTTAGGAAATGAAGAACTTCATGTGCCATGATGACATTATCCATGAGCTGCCTACCAGGGATATAAAGAGCTTGATTAACACTGACACACAAATGAAAAACAGGTTTCAATCTAGCCACCAAGATTTTGGAAATAATTTTGTAAGCAACTTCACAGAGGTTGATTGGTCTGAAGTCACTTAATGTGGTGGGGTTGGTGCTTTTGGGAATGAGTGTTATAATGGTGTGGTTCCAGCTTTTCAGGAGCATTTTAGATTCAAAGAAGCTAGTCACTGCCTCACACAGATCAAACTTGATAATAGGCCAGAAGTGCTGGAAGAATAGTGGGGACATACCAGTTGCTCCTGGAGATTTGTCTGGATTCATGCTAAAGAGAGCCGCATGAATTTCTCTCTCATCCACTTTGGCAATTAAGTCTTGGTTAATAGAGTGATCAATCACAGTAGGAATAAGGTTAATAATCTCATTATCCTCAGCTGTAGTCTCAGATGTGAATAAATCTGAATAAAAGGAGCATACAGCCTCTTCAATCTCATGCTTAGCATCACAAACTTTTCCTCTGTCAAGAATCAATCTAGAAATGGAATTGGTTTTCCTCCTTTGGAGAGTGAGTGCATGGAAAAATTTTGAATTCATATCACCCTCCTTCAGCCACAAGTTTCGGGACTTTTGTTTCCAGAAAGCTTCTTCAGACATTTGCGCAGCTTCAAGTTCTTGCTTTATTCTCTCCCAGTTCTCCCAATTTTTGTCTCCACTCTTTAATCTCATTTCTTCTAACTGCAGAGATAATTTACTGATCTTATCTGCTCCATTGGATTTAAATGCTTGGCTCCATTTGAGGAGTGCAACCCTTGTCAGCTTGATCTTCTCTTGGAATTTGAACATGGGAGTACCCCAGCATTGATTACTCCAGGCCTTATTGACTGTTTCAGTTACACCCTCATTTTTAAGCCACCGTTTATCGAATTGAAATCTAGGCTTTCTGTGGTTGACTTCACTGGTATCCTCATTGAGCACCAAGAGACTATGGTCAGATGAAGTCTTGTAACAGTTTAGAATCACAGCATTTGGGTTATTAGCGATCCACTCCAAAGAACCGAAGACCCTGTCCAGTCTTTCCTCGATGAATTCCTCATGAGACCTGTTATTCGACCAAGTGAATTGATGATCTTTGATTACCACTTCAATCATTCCCATCTGGCTAATAAAATTCTGGAATTCTCTCATTTCCTCCAAATTCTTATCTCGTCCTCCTCTTTTTTCATCATTATGGATAATGGCGTTCCAGTCTCCCCCTATGATCCATTGTTGGCCCCATTTGGCTTTTGCTTGTCCAAGAAAAGCCCACTGCTCATTTCTGAGGTTTCTGTCTGTGTTGGCATAGACAAATATGATCCAAAATGATCCCGCACTGTTATGACTTTCAATCTAAACTTCAAAGCAAAAAGAATGGCTGATGATTTGGAGGATGTTGATGCCGCTATCCCAGAAGAGAGCGAGACCTCCACTGATACCAATAGGATCCACAACCGTCCATCGACTGGCAAAACCTAATTTGTTGCTGACTGTTCTAATAAAATCTTTTTGTTTTTTTGTTTCTGAAAGAAAGACAAAACTTGGGTGGTGAATTCGAGAGGAATCCTTCAGCTGGGACACTGTAGAGGGCCCACCCAGACCTCTTCAGTTCCACAAGATTAGCTTCATTTATTCACTTGGGGCCACTTGAGGCTGGCTTCCTCCACCTTAGTAGTTGAGAGTTTTGCTTTCTTCTTGTCTCTGGCACTGGCATTTTCCACTTTGATATTGCCCATTGTCTCATGATTTTCTTCCCTTATTCTCTTGAGCTTATCCCCTGATTTGGGTGAGCTGTCAGACTTGCTTGAGTTTCTGATAATTCTGCTTACTTTGGATTTTGCTCTCTTCCACCCTCGAGTTGAAGCAGTTGTGCTGCCCCTGAGGTGATCATCATGCTGGGGAATATCAGATTGAATGGCAATTGGCACCTCAACCATGGCATGATCAGGAGTAGGGGAATCCTCTGTGGCTACAATCTGGTCTGAAAAGCCTCCTGCTATGGTGAGGTTTTTCTCATGATGTTTCAGTTTTGGCATTGGGGTAATGCTCTCAGGAGAGAAGGGGATGATTGGAAGACTCTGAAGATGATCCATTCCCACAACTTCTTATGTGCTGCTAATCAGAGGGCTGGGATTGAGATTGTCTGCTTTTTCTTTGACTGGGCTGTGGTTGGCATCAAAATTATTCTTGCTCGAGGATCCTTGCTGCCTGGTTTGTTGGGGGATGATAAATGCAGTAGGATGAGGAGTAATGGAGCTTGAAGTGGAGTTAGAATAACCTTTTCCATCTGAGGCTTTCATCCAATCACTGTATTGGCCTTCTTTTAGAATACCTTGGTCTATGTCTGCTAATCTTTTGCTGCACATTTTATCCATATGCCCCAAGCGACCACAATAATAACAAAGGTTGACAAGTTTCTCGTATTGGAATGATATGGTGACTTGCTGATCCTGCAATTTCATCCTGGTGCATCTAGGAAGCGGTTGATTGAGATCCACCGTAATGAGCAATCTAATGTAATTGCCTTTACTTCCACGTGCTTTGATCACAGACACATTTTTGACCTTTTTGAAGAATTTCCCGATCTTTAACCCAACATCAGCACTAAGCCAGTCGAGGGGTACATTGCGGACCTGCACCCATAGGCTTAGCTCAGAAAATCCTGCGTGATTAGAGCACATTCCTTTTTTTCCATTCCATAAGAACTAGATATTGATTATCAAAAATCCAGTTCACTGCAGATGCTACTTTCTTCTTGTCATCTGTGTTTCCAAATATGAACTGAAAAAAAATTATGACTTAGTTCTCTAACTTCAACAGGCTGCTTAATTTGCCAAATCGCACTCATAGTACGGCGAAGCCCGATGAGGTGAGCTTTTCTGTCTCCTATGACCTTGCCGAACAAGCTCTTCTCACACTCTTCAGCACTTGATAGAATGTCGTTATTCTCCAGTTCAATAATGCCAATCTCTGCTTCAGCAAGCTCGATCTTTCTGAACTTGTTCCCAATTTCATCAGTAACATCAACCGATTCAGCAACATTTGGGGGCGAATTGTCCATCGCCCCTAATAAACCCTAGAAATGATAAATATAGGCAACTGGAAAGATGAAAGTCAAAAGGAAGGAGGAAAGGCGAAGAAATGATAAACTGAAAACAAATCTCTCAGGGAGAGCATATTAGGCTCTCATTGGGGAGAATGGAAGCTCTCATCAGGGAGAATAGCGACTCTCATCGGAGAGAATGATGACAAGTTGTTTATTGTGAAATTGATTGACAATAGAAGAAAGTCACTTATGAAAAAAAATTTAATAATGTTCAAGCTCAATCTTAGATAAAAGGTTTGAAAGTAAGTTAAGTTAAGGTATATAGATAAATATGATTTATTGTGAAATTGATTGACAATAGAAGAAAGCCACTTATTAAAAAAAATATAATAATGTTCAAGCTCAATCTTAGATAAAATGTTTGAAAGTAAGTTAAGTTAAGGTATATAGATAAATATGGTTTATTGTGAAATTGATTGACAATAGAAGAAAGCCACATTAAAAAAAATATAATAATGTTCAAGCTCAATCTTAGATAAAATGTTTGAAAGT